ACGGCATGACCGGCATGCGTGTGAACGCATCTAAAACGAAAAACTTAGTGTTTTCTCGTTTTCCTGTGCCCGTTGCTCGCTTCTGATTAATGGAAAGGCAATGAGCTAGTGGAGAAGTTCAAGTGTCTCGTAGTCGTATTTGCTAGTGCCGGAAAATTTGAGGAAGCGATGGACCGGCCGATTGAAGTGCCAGTGGCGTTGTGGCGTTCTGTATGAACTAGCTTGGACCACGGTGACTGAAGTAGGCTATGTCTGAGTCTGAGTCTGAAGAATAAGCTCTCCGTGTTCAAGTCGCTCTTCATCCCCCCCCCACACACATACACTCATACTAGAGTCATCAGTCATGGATCACGTCTGAAATCCGTGAATCTGAGGTACAAGCGATGGAATGGGTTTTCTGACATGAGTCGCTGGCCTCACTCATCTCCACATGTTCAGTAGTACAGGCATCTTAGAGAGCTAAGGCTTTTCCAGATTGAGAAGTCACAACATGGTTTGGTCAATTCATGCAAATGCTTTCAGAAAGGAAGGCCAAACTACCACTAATTGCCCAGCAGATCAGCTGAAGACGGCGGAGAGTGCCAAGAATAACCTGGGACAAATGAATCGAAGGATGCTGCTCTAGACTAAAGTTATCTTCTGCCGATGCTCAAAAGCTGGGATAGGATCGGGAACGTTGGAGACACCAGCTGACGCGTCTCCCTCCGCGACCTGAAAGGGCGAGTGGTCATGAAACTAACTGGCTGACTAAGGGTTTGCGTAGCACGATGAATATCCCAACATATTTGTCATCGGCTGATTAATTAATATAATCAGAAAAGAGGTTATGGATGATGAAATTGAAGATAATTAATTTATGTAGAATATTTTGCCTTATTACGCTAACGCTGTTTAAGATGGAGCTGCTGGCTACTGTCACTTGTTCCTGTTGTCTGCGGTAGATATAATTATATGCGCTTTGGGGAGTAGGTATAAGAAAAAACGAGTTTCTAGGTGCGTGTCGGAAAGATATGCAAAACCGATTTCTGTGGTTTCTTCGTATGACTATCAACGCATGAGAAAAATATTCAACGAACGTAAAGATAAAGGCGGATAATACAAAAAATGTATTGGAGTCACCAAAAGATGTAATTTTTTTTTGTAAAAAAAATGCCATACCTCCTCAGCCTCTGGTAAGATTTTCATGAGACACCGTAGTCTTTCCAAACCGACATCTTCTTCGCGGCAATTCCGTATCAACTCTACGAAGTTGTCGATTGTGCTAAAGAGGAAAGTGAGTCACGCGATAGGGAGGAAAACTGATCGAAGACCACTTACCCATGACACTGCTTTAGAAAGATGCTTATGTTCAGACTGCGTTTCGGGTCAAGCAGATTCACCACGTGACTGGAATCGCGTAGTTTTCGCTGCAGCACCCAACTACCGGAAGAGTTGGAGGGGAGCAATGACTGATGACGCTGTTCCGACGGCGTAGTTGCGGCCGGTTGGGCAAACAGGGTTTCCAGCATATGGAAATCCGGAGACAGGGAGCGGAAGCGGCTAGCCGCCTTCCGCCATACGTTGTTCCTTGAGCTGCTTACCTTACACGAAGGCACCTTGTTCCAAGCGAAAGTCTTCACCTTCACCCTTGGCTGTGGAAGATTGTGTGTGAAAGTGGTCGCCTCGACGACTGGCGCCGGTGGCAAAACCGGAGGAGGTACACAACGACCGGGAGGGCCTGAACTAAGCGGCTTTTCCTTCGATTCAGAGCTGCATCTGCTGTTGGCTTCAGGACTGCGTGGTGGTGAACTGGTATTCTTCAGCGACCGGGAAGAAACGTTTGGTGCACTGGGGACCTTCGCTGAGCAATCGCCATGCAGTAGTAGCGGGGGCGGAGGAGGAACACTTCGAACAGGGGGGTCTTTCTGTCGAACGTTCTCCTGAACACCGGATAAATTTGAGGAATCGGAACCACACTCGAAGGGGCAGCCGTTCGAATGACATGGACAGGTGCACAGCGACGATTGCTGAAGTACTGTTTTGTCAGACATCGATATCGATGAACTACAGTTCCTGTGTATATTGATGAGTTTGTCCGCGTCGTCTTTATCGTTTATCAGTGTTGCACGGCAAACTAACTTCTCGGCCGTCTGCCAAATGCAATCGCCCAACGGATTCGCAAGTTCGATCTGTACCAAATGCTGCAGTAAGTTCAAAAATATCAATTCGTTCGGAGTTCCACGAACCTAAATCATTGTGACGGTCATATAATTGGGAGAGAAAAATTTTAAACCGTACAATAGGCAATCGACGAACATTATTTCCCGTCCATGACATAACTTCCGGGATAACGCCATGAATGCACAAGCTGAGCTATTGTTGGTTTCCTTGAAATTCATTATTCAAGTGGTGCATGGAGATTTGCTCTCATTCCGTTTATCGGAATTCCGTTCATCAAGCGCCATGTTTATCTTTCCTCCGTTATACCAGAATATATTCCATTGCCCGTTAGGTCTACCAAGCAATCCATTCATTGGAGGTTCCCTATGGATCTTCACGTATACAACTGAATTGATGCGAATAGACTTTCGGATATATGTTTTGGCGTTAGCACGCGTATGAGTCATATTCGTTACCCAATCTCTGCTATATAAATGAGAGATCGAGGTTCGGAAATTTGGTGCATGCTGCAATGAGCACTGGAATGTAATGTCGAAACAAAGGATCATAGTTCGGTCACTGCAATAGAGGGTGAATATGATTTGTAACATGACTGGCATGGAAACCAATCTGCTATCACGGAAAAGGAAAAAGAAGCGCAAATCATTGTCCGATAATGCACATGAAAATCTTTGAAGGTTTTTTGTGGAATGTTCCATTTTCCATAATAAAACCTGGACGTCTTAGTCGCATAGCTGAGAAAAGTACAGCAACGCGTACATCGATGAACCCATTGAACTCTGAAAGGGTCTTCTCTCGAGGCTAAGAGAACTAATCATGCCCTTCGAAACAGTTCGGTCTATGAAGTATATACTCTGATTAAGAATCCTAAGGGAAAGAATGTGGGTTGTTTTCTTTCTTAAATCTTAATCATAAAAGTGTTTCGTCATATCGTATGCCTTCAGAAGGAGAAATGACGACTTTTAAGCAAGAAGAACGAAAGAAGTGAATAACGCTTGATCCCTGATATTAAGAAATGAAGAGAGAATAATGATATTCAAAAATATCTTCGGCAATAGTCCTTCACAATTTTATTACTGATATGTTATAGCACGCTGTACAGTAATAAATAAATTAGAGAAAACATTTTAATGGTTCCCTACAAATGCAAACTCGGCACACTTGTCTCGGGGAATGAGCAAAGACCGAATTATGAAATGTACGGAAATGTATTCCAGGCTGTTATATGATGTATGCTGTGGTATATTTTTTGTAGCCGTCGTAGCAGCCGCAAAGGAATGTCATGAATGATAAAATGGGTGGCTAAGATGAGAGTTACAATCAAGAGTTGAAAAATTTTCTCATGTTTTTAGACGTCTGTTCAAGAGTGGGGTACTCCTGCAGAGTAAGGTTCATTAGTTCTCAAATAAAGCATGGTATAACCCTTCGGTCATGTCACTAACTATGCAAACTGAGTGTGGCGGATGAGGCATGGGCTAGACGGAGGAAAGGACGATACGATAGAGGATGGGAGACATCAAGGAATTCATATAGGAAGATACTTCAAGGTACTTGCTTCATGAGGATGGATAAATGCGGCAACGCCATTTACATGCGATTGTAATTTATTTTAAAAGAGAATCGAATTTATCGTTGTTAGTTTTTAAAAGGCATGCCTGCTTAAAAAAGAACTCAACGCAACAAACAACCTGGACAGAAGAATGGTAGCTCATCGAAGCATCTACCATAAAGGCATTTCTACCATGCCATCCATTCATTAGCTGAAGTACGACAACCCTTGAACAAACAGAACAAAGGAGTTTGACGATGCTACAAATTAAGCATAATAAGAGATGCGGATATCCTCGTCCGGACTTCATTCTTAAAGCGAAATTCTTACAACTGATCTTTGCAGTTTCGCAATGCAAAATTCATTCTGATTTGAACTTGACGTTGCATTTTAGATTCAAACAACTCGAAATCGCTTTAAAATATGATCAGATAGAACGAAGCGTTCACAGTAGATATTTTTTACTGATAAAAAAATATTATGCTCAAATCTTTTTTCATGTTTTGTTCCACCAATTTCAAAGGTTTTACTTCGTTTTGAGAGCAATCGCTATAAGCCAGAGTTCACATAGTTTTACAAATGTTGATGATAAGTTTCCCGTTTTTATTTTGCTTACGTTGTTCACGATTGTTTCCTTGAAAGTACCTGCCATTAATTTTGCTATGATCAAAAAAATAAAAGTGATAAAACCTACGAAACGGGCTGGTTTCCTAAGGATTTCATTCATCTGAAAAAAGAAATGTACGTTTATGCCTCTCGTTCCTGCACCACTACACGGGCATGAAGAAAGTTCCTCTTTCAGCAACATGTTTGCAAGATTTGAAGTGTCACGGTTAGGAATAGCAGAGTTGAAAATGTTGAACCATTTCCGTTTAAGGAGGAGACCAAGTCAGCGATCTATGATATTGCACCGCATTAGTAAACTAAACACGTTTCGAGCTGTTTGTTCGTTCTGACTTGTCTCCGAGTCATGGTAATAAAAACAGCTTTGAGGTAAGTCAAATCGATGAGGTGAAATTGAGAATCCCAGGGGAAGGGTGAGTTTAAATTGATGTAGATTGCTTGCTACTAACGTCCAAATATTGCCTAAGTGCAGACCATTTCCACAGTCAGGCCTGTGTCGGCATGGGTGTACAAAGATCCTTTATTTTTCGGGATATCAAGTTCTTTCATATACAAATTCTTTGGACATACTGTCAAACTGTTTTGCCTGTTTCAGTCATAAAGTGCCGCGAAGTTGCATTTGAATTCTGGTGCTATAGCAAACAAATCTTTTGTTTTCCTCGTACTTTGTTGCCGTTCGGAATTGGATTCCTCGTTTGTGTCAGCGTTGTTCCACCGTGTATGGTTGTGCATGTGTTCCTTCCTTCTTTCCTCAACGGTATCGCTTGATTCCTTGGTGCAGGCGGGATAAAGTTACAGAAAATGCGGTAGACCCACCTTTGGTACCCTGTTTTTGACACTGGTTAGTCTACTTTGGAGGATAGCTCTTATTCACTCACAAATTTCAGGTCAAGAGCTGATGCTACCCTTCGTAACTTTTCCTGTAGCCTACATGCGTAAGTTAAAAACTTTACCTCAACAATAAGTTCACTTTGCTTCAAGAAACAGTAGTTACTCCAAACCTGTTGCAGCATAAGCCAGTCATCCACAAACACTCGAGGGTAATATCCAAAAAAAACAAAAAACGACAAGGTACTACCTCTTGTTTACTCATACGACCAAGCTAAAATCTCATGAAGGGTAACCGCTCCTTCAGGTCAGATAGGTTAGCTCAACTCTGAATTTTTCACTTCATTTGTCCCATCCGCGTATCCAACCGCTTTCATTCCAATCCATCCTCAAAGCTAATCGTTTCTTCCGCATTGTGAAGCCGTTTCAAGATCTTCTTCGGTGGTCGCAGTCTCCTGCTAATCAGCCAAGCTCCATGAGGTATATTATAAAGTGCGGTAATGCCTTGTATTCAACGTATTGGAGTCATTTCGCCTTTGGTCTATCGCTGCTTAGAATTTCGCATTGACACGCCTCAGAAGGCTTGTGCGCATATCTGTGTGAACCTGAAGATATAGATA